TTTCTCTCCAACTGTGTGTATTAGTGAAGGGCTATTCATAGCATGCAGTGATTAACCTGGTGCACACTCGGCTTTAAATATGGCACGAGTGGAAGAAATCCCAGAAGATTCCAGCAATGGTGGATACTTTTGCTGGTGACTGTACAATAGCATGAGCATGATGCCAAAGAGGTGTGGCACATACATAATGAAGTGAATAGTGGAGAACGGCATGAGGCACCTCACTAAAGCTGATGGTATCCAAAGAAAGTTAAAACCACAGTTGCTTAAATAGGTACTGACATGGCATTCTTACTTGAGGGTCTAGATACACGGATCATTAAAATATCATGATAAGTACAGAAACTGATCAAAACATCAAATAAAATGTAAGGCTTCACGTCTGCCAGACAGGACCAGAAGAGATAAATGTTCTACCACAGTTTAGGATACAATGCTTAGAAAGCACCCGGAGTATTGTGTGTAATTTTGGCCATCTTACCTTACAACAGAAATATGACCTTGGAGAGTTTGCAGAGTACATTTATCAGAATGATACCTGTACTTCAAGGGTTAAATTACAGAGAAAGATTACATAATTTATGTATATATTTCCATGGAATTTAAAAGCTCAAGCAGTGACTTGATTGAAGTTTTTCAGATAGATAGGGGAATAGACAGGGTAGACAGAGATAACATTTCACTGCAGATTGCAGTTTGTTTTGAAGTCTATTGAGACCTAAGTACTTTTGAAATGATATTTAAAATTCTAGTGATTGACTGGAAGGATTACAAGATTTGAAATGACAAGATCTAATAAACCTTTATAATTGTTAATTTCAACCCTGAAATTGATTAATTTCTAGTCAACAGAATTGAGAGTTAAAAGGAAAATATGAGTCTGCAGGGTTAGACTGCCGTGGCCTCACTGAATAGTGGAACAGAGGTTTGATTAACTAAAGAGACCTATTTCCTATTTGGAAACTGGTGTCTTGTCACTCAAATCTTTGCATTGAGTATTATCAAGAAAATCGAATCACCTTTTGATATGTGTTCCTAAATGCAGAATGTGGACCAGGAGCTCATTCATAATACAGTTCAGTCTTTAATCAATATAAATAATTTCTGTTTTCCCAAATATTTCTCTATTTGTTTTTGAGTTGGAATGCTTAGAAGACTACAAATAATCTCTTTGACAGTTGCCCACCTTTCAAATACTTGTTATTCACATTTTGTGAAAAAAAATCTCTGAAGAAAAGAATATCAGCTCCTTTGGTTTATTATGAAATAAATGGAGCTGGGCAAAGAAACTTGAAGACTTTATGGATTGCTTTCACACTGCTGCCAGTGGACTTGAATGAAGGTTGATACCCTAAAGTAGCCTTCATCAAATACCTGCTCAAAACAATGCAATTCCTGGCTTCTGCAAATAGTGCCATATCAAGGCAGCACTATACTTACAAATACCACTGTAACTCCCAGTATTTGGAAACAACGATATTGAATCTCAAAATTTGTCAAATAACAAGTTTCCAGATGATCACTTACAAAGGTATAAAAATTGTTTAATAATTATTGGAGTGGTAAATCAATATTAATAAATGCAAGTTTCTATTTGGAAAGCTAACAAAATTTGAATGAAATATCATTGCATAAAATCTAGTAATTTTAAGGTATTGAAATAATGATAATAATATTACCTAATATTTTCAATACTCTTGTAATTTACTTTCTCACAACCAATTTAACCTGCACATCACAATACTGAAAAAAAGAGCAAGACATGAAACTATGGATCATACCCAACATATACTGTCATATTATTGCTCAAGAACACTATATGGGATAACAAGGTGTAGAGCTGGATAACACAGCAGGCCAAGCAGCAACAGAGGAACAGGAAAGCTGACGTTTTGGGTCTAGACGCTTCGAAGGTTTTTTCTGAAGAAGGATCGAGACCCAAAACGTCAGCTTTCCTGCTCCTCTGATGCTGCTTGGCCTGCTGTGTTCATCCAGCTCTACACCTTGTCTTAGATTCTCCAGCATCGGCAGTTCCTACTATCACTATATGGGATGCCGTTATTATTCAAACAAAAGTGAAAAGGGCATAACAAGAAGTCAGCAAATAGTTGATAACAATTGGAAATTGTTATTAATCTGTTAGAGTTCTTTGAAGAATTAACTAAACAAATAAATGGGAGCTATGCTGAAAAAATATTTATTCAGTGTTTCTAGAAATATGATAAAGTTCAAGATAAAACCTTTGAAAGGTTTAAATTCATATAATCACGGTAGGTTAAGCAATTACATTGATGACAGATTTAACAATAAGAAGTATAAAGTGATGATAAACTAAAAAAAAACTGCCTGGGAAAGAGGATACAAGGGATTTCCAGAGAATTTTGTTCTTGCTGTGTTCCATTCAAAACTGCTGTTTTTGTAATGATTGGGTGGATACAAAGCTTAAATCTTGAGATCCTGTCACTAAGATCAGTTTGCATTAAAAGTAGAGTTTAATCATCAATTATGGTGATCAATACAAGTAATTTTGCATTAAATTTCCATGAGGTTTGTGAGGTTGCTCAGCACTAATGGTCAGATTACAAAGCTGCTAAGCCTGCCTCGCTAAGTTATTATGTTAATGTCAGCAAAAAATTAAAAGTGCTGATTTTAACAGAACAAGGTTTCTAAAGGGTTCTGGCATTTAGTCCTAAATGAAGACTGATCAAATCGGCCACTTTGACTGTATTCTACTGTACTCATTTATTTCAGACACTAAAATATATGTACAGGTTAAAACAAAAAGAAAGATAAAGCAAAGTTAGAGAAAGTCTACAGAATTAAGCAGATAGTTTAAGACACTGTAAATTGATTTAATTGGAAATGAATGCAATGCACATTTGAAAAGGATGCATGAATTTGTAAATTGAAAGCATTATCTATACTGAAGGATGGAAGACATAAAAAATTGCTACTAATCAATCACAAAGTTTTTGTTGTGTAGCTGTATTCATCAACACTAATCTGATACTGGATGGATCTCATGGGTATTTGACTAGAAAGGGCAATAGATTACCCAAACTTGTACAGATCATTGGTGAGGCCATAGTCAAACACTGTGCAATTTTGGACACCCTACCTTCAAAAAGAGAGATGCATTGAGAGGATTCAGAGAAGAGCAAGAAGGATGATTCCAGAACATAGAGCAAAATCACCTGATGCTGTGTTGATTAACTCCTTCAAGAAAAAAAAATCAAAAAGTCTTGATAAATATTTAGTTGGGAACAGGAATGAAGTTTACAGGAATCGCTATGGACTGAAATGGTCAAATTTTCCACGGAATATGATGGTTCCTACCACTGTTAGATCTGCAGTTTGTTGTTTTTGGGGGACAGTGATCTGTCCTAGTGCAGAGAAGTTAAACATGTACGGTGGCAATTCTCTTGCCTTTAAGAAATCATTGATACAGAAACCCAATTTGGGACATAAAATTGTTGAGGCAGAGTTTACACTAGGGTAGACTTTACAAGATTTGCAGCAGGAACAGGCTTAGTCAACTGATAGGTCTTTGCTTATTCCATGCTTTCTGACTGTATGCATGAACACAGCAGGCCAAGCAGCATCACAGGAGCAGGTAAGCTGACATTTTGGGTCTGGACCCTTCTTCAGAAATGGGGGAGGGGAAGGGAATTCTGAAATAAATAGGGAGACAGGGGGAGGCGGATAGAAGATGGATAAAGGAGAAGATAGGCAGAGAGGAGACAGACAGGTCAAAGAGGCGGGGGTGGAGCCAGTAAAGGTGAGTGTAGGTGGGGAGTTAGGGTGGGGATAGGTCAGTCCAGGGGGGA